ATCCTTCAAATAACATGCTTTATAAAAACCTCCTTTATTCTGAATGCCATGACTGATACTCTTGCCATAGACTACTTTTGGTATCAATCTGGTAGGATCTTTGTGTAATACTTTTGGTATTAATATAGCAGGATCTCTGTGTGCATTGCTCACTTCTATCCTCGGAGTTTCCTCAGGATGTCTTTCCTTGACTGCGTCATATTTTGTTTGATCATAAAACTTTTTGTCCATTTATGATTTATTTCCAATTTGATGAACAGTCTTTCAAGTCAACACCTTTTGGTTATGCCATGATCAAGCAATGCAAACAAAAGAAATTAATATAAACAAGTTAGAGCAAAATAACATGTATGAAAAATGAGAAAGGAAAAAATAAATTGGTTAGTACCAACTAATGGAAAGAAAAATTTTATCTATCAAGGTATAAATCCTAACCCCATGCTTTCTAGTTCCATGCTTTGTTTGGAAACATTAACTTAACCGCATGATTTCTAGTTTGCATGCATTTAATATGAAATCAAATAAATTAAAAGCTAGAGCTTATTTCTCCTTTGTGTACACCTACGAACTAGGTTTAAGTATTGTCTTAGATTAGGAGAATTTCTAGGGTTTATTATATGCAGGGTTTTAGTTATAGGAGTAAAGGTACCCGAATTTTCCTTGTTAGTGCCCCCTTGGGCTGCTAACGCTCAATCCTAGTCCATCACAGACTAAAGTGAATCGAGTTCAATTCGAGGGGACACACTTCTCTATGCTTGACACAGAGAATAAATTCTCACGAAGACATAGAGTATATGAACCCCGAAAGCTTATATTATGCAATACACGTGTTGTATGTGAGGAGAAATATTCAAACCTTTGACAAACAAATAAAGAATGAAATGTAATATATAAAAATAAAAAACATTAATAAATATTATGAAAATCATAAGTAATAAAAAAATTTGAAAGAAAATAATTATAAACTAAATAAATATGAATTTTTAATTTCTAATTAATAGAGACAATTTATAATTAATTTCAAAGCTTGACCATATCCCTAGCGGAGTCGCCATGCTGTCGTAATCGGTTTTCGCCCGGGTACGAAAACTTTTTTTCGGCGGGAAAAATAATGTGAATAAATGATTTTGATTTAAAAAATGTTTTGGGAGTCGCCATTGACCTTTTTGGGTTAGGTAGGTCGAATACTTAAAAATCATCTTTTAAAAGAGTTTTTAAGAAAACATTATTTAAAAGAAAAACCGATTTGCGTTTAAACAAAAATTCATTAGTTTTAGAAATAAAAAGGGATTCGTGGTCGGTTACGTTTGGGGAAGGATTAGCACCCCACAACGCCCAAAATTGGTACCTGTTAATTATAAATTATCTCTAATAATAGAATTTTAAAAATTCGAATATAAATTTAATTTATGATCCTATTATTTCGTATTTTAATCGGATAATTCTAAAAAAAGATATTAAATAATTTTTATAAATTATAAATAAAATATTTATTTATTTAAAACATCAGAAAAGGACATCTAGTTGCTTTAAGACTACCCTTTCTTAATATTTAAAAAATAAATAAATATTAAAAATAATAATTTTTCCTAAGAAAATAATTTAAATAAAACAATATGTGTTTTTTGGGTTTTATAAGTAAGATATTTATTTATTTTTAAAATACTATAATAGGACATCTAGTTGTTTTAAGACTTCTCTTTTCTTAGTTTTTAAAAATAAATAAATATTATTATCCAATCAAATTATAAAATTATAATATTGTATTTCATGTAAATATGAATAAAACATAAAACATAAATAAATAAAATACTATATTTAAAGTATAGGATAAATTAATACTATATGGTAAACAATAATAATGATCAAAATAAAAGAAATTAAAGCAATAATATTAAATTATAAAATATTAAAAATTCAGGGTCAAAAATGAAAATTAGTGATTAAAATATAAAATTATAAAACTAAAGTTCTAATTCAAAATATATAAAATATGGGCATTAAAAGTGTAATTTAACCATAATTAATAATATGGGACTAAAACAAAAATATTAAAATTATAGAGGACTAAATATATTATTTACCCTAATTATATATGCAGTTAATGACTAAAATAAAATAAAATTTAAATACTAAATTAAAATGATTAAAAGTCAATTTCAGTGACGAAATTGTAAAGTGTACAAACTTTGAGTACTACGGACAGGGTTTACCCCTGATAGAAATTACGCACACACCCCTCCCCAAAACGACGTCGTCGGGGAGGGGTATTTAAACCCTTTTAAGCCGGCCCTAAGGGCCATTGTCTCATTTCCCTCTTTTCATTCTCTCTCTAACTGAGAGAGAATAAAATTTCTCTGTCTTCTCTCTAAAATATTTCCGGCCGACAGCCATGCTCCGACGCCAGTCACCACCGCCAGCCACCGTCAATGGTGGCCAAAATTCCTAAATTACCCTAGAACGTAGGTTTTGACCTCCTAAAGCCGAATATAGCCTCTGTTTTCCTTAAATCCCCTTAGATTTCCATAGATCTAGGAAAATCGAAGCTTTTACCTCGGTTGAAACAACGTCTCTTGTGACGATTGAGCTCTCCTCGATGGTAAGTCCCTCGTTCTTACTCTTTTTTCTTTCGATTTGCTGCTATGGGTTTGGCTTGCTGTTGGTGTTTCTTGCTCGTATCTTTCTCTCTATGTTGTTGTTCTTCTCCTCTATTTTTTTTTTGTGTTGCTCTCTCTCTCTATCTGTTGGTGTTTCTCGGTGGCTGTCGTCCTCCTTTTCTTTTTGCAGGTTCGGTGGCCTTATTTATAGGCCACCACGAACGCCATTCGGACTGGTTATAAGGAGTGACCCTAGGTGAGTCACCGTAGCTATGGTAGTGACTCACCATAGGGCTTCAACGTGGTGGCATCGTGGCAGTGAAGGAGGTTTCTTCGAGGCGACTTCAGAGTGTTGGCAACGACTGGAGGTGGCATCTGACAGAGGCGGCGCTGCGTGGTCCCTAGGGTTATGATACCCTAGGGTTTCAAGCTGGAACCATCTGGGCCGTTGGATCAAGATTAGATCCACGGCAGCAAGCAATGACGGCTGGAGCTGAGATGACATAAACCCTAATTGGGTTTAGGGTTAGTTTTGAGCCTGGACCGGGTTGGACTTGTAAATTGGGCCAGTTTGTAATTGGGTTGAGTTTGATTTGAGCCTGAAATGTAATAATAATAATTTAATAATAATAATAATAATAATAATAATAATAAACAAATGGATAAAAAAATTAGTATCTTCAAGTTGATTGTCAATTTTGTTTTTCAGTCTCCGTTCTTGAGGTAGTTCTTTGTTAGTGAGTTTTATTGGTATCTGTGTGTGCTATTTTCTTCTATTTAAGTATAGGAAAGTTGTTAATGAGCTCTTGTATATGATTCGCTTTAATCGTGCACTCTTTACAAAAAAAATGGATTCCTACTTAAAAATGTAAATAAACAATGTAAAAATGACCTAAACAATACACATGATGACATGATGATCTTTTAGATAACAATTAGCTTATTGTTATTGTCGGCGATATCAATATGAGGTTTTCATTCCCACCGTATCAAAAATTATTTATTTAGGATAAATCGTTAAAATTATTTTTAAAGGTTAGAATATTAATAAAGTTGCGATAAATTTTTATAAGAGATTCGAATATATTTAGATCAAGATATCTTCTTATAAATCAATCGATTGTCAATTAACTTTCAAACGCATCTTGAAATGTTATAATCAAACACTGGTAATTCGGAATAAATCTATTTTAATAAAGTCAATATAGATACAAAATTGAATGCATATTCAATACAAGTATTTTAAAAATATTTCAACTTTTTAAAAAAATTTAATTAAATTTAACATAAAACTATGTATTTTAGATATCATATTTATCATTTATTTTATTTAAGATATGTAGATAAATTAAAATTTGTTTTAATATTTTTTTAGTTTAATTAAAACATGATTAGAATTTTAACTATTTTTTAAAAAATATTGAAGAACAAATAGATATCTTTCACATGTATTTTAACAACATTAATTTATCAAAGATTTATTGCATCATAATGAACCTTTGACTGTTCCATTTTACGTCGAACACCTTAGTGGGTGAGATAGGAGGTAGAAAAGCATGATGGCAACTTGTGTGGAGTGAATCACAAGATTAGGTAGGATAGAATATCACATCTTATAGAGGTGAAAATTAATCCCACATGAGAAAGGAAGATTGAGATTTTAGAGTTTAAAAGCGGTGATATTATACATTTTGATGATAGTTGACGACAACTAATAATATGATAACTATTTTATAATTAAATCAAAATTTTAATAATAATTTATCATTTCCTAAAAAAAATTAATGATAGAAAAATATCATTCAATATAGTTTAGTTGCCATTTATATAGTGTATCCATAAAAAGAACATATAAAAGGTGAGACCCTTCGAGGTTTTGTAAGCAACGAAATCCAAAAGGAAACGGTTCAAAATTTGTTCTCGTTTTCGCCTTCATAGCTGCAATGGCATTTCTCGATAACATAATATTATGATATTTAATGAAGAAACCAAAGACGGACATTAATTATCTACCTATTAAGACTAAGCAAACACAAATTTCACCTCACTTGTCTCTTATGGAGTCGCTTCCTTTTCCGAAGTATCTCCTTTTCGCCACTCTTTTTTCATTGTGCGCCGATTCCATTGCTCAATACGAACAAGAAAGAGATGTTCTATACGCACTCAAGCACACGTTCAGCGATCCATTCTTAAACGACAACTGGAACGGCCTTCAGTGCTATGAAAACACCTCGTACTGGCACGGCATTCAGTGCATCAATGGCCGTGTCACTGCTATTTTACTGGAAAATAGGGGTTTATCGGGTAAACCAACTGCTGATTCATTCGTCGTGCTGTCGGAATTGATCAGCGTCGTCTTCAAGAACAACTCTTTATCGGGGAACATAATGGATTTCTCTTTCAATCTCAAGTTGAAGCACATTGATCTGTCGGAAAACATGTTTGATGGGCCGATCCCACGTTCACTCCTCGAGCTCGAGTTGTTGGAATCGTTGCAGCTTCAAGAGAACAATCTGAGCGGCACGATCCCAGAGTTCGACCAAGAGAGTTTGACTTCTTTCAACGTCTCCAACAACAAAATCAGTGGTCCGATCCCTGGAACTCGAACCTTGAAATCATTCGGCTTTGCTTCGTACTTCAACAATGGCCCCGACATGTGCGATTCCTCGAGCTCCAGTTCTTGCCATTTTAGCGACGAACACAAAGCTCGAGACTCCAAACGGAAATCCATTGCAACTTTAGTTATGGTTTTGGTTATTATAGGCTTGGTTACCGTGATTTTACTGCTGATTCTTTACATTAAGAAATCGAGGAGAATCAAGAACCTGATGAAGAGTTACCCTTTCGAAGAAAAAGTCGATTTAAAGCTGGAAGATGAAGAAAAGAAGCTGGTGTTCATGGCGGATGAAGCAGGTTGTTTTGACCTAAACGATTTGCTGAAAGCTTCGGCAGAAGGGTTAGGGAAAGGGGTTTGTGGCCACACTTATAAAGCAACAGTGGAAGACGGGAAACCAATTGTTGTGAAACATTTGAGGGAGTTGAAACCATTTAGCAACGAGGAGTTCATGAAGCTGGTGCGAAGAATTGCAGACCAAAAGCATCCGAATTTGCTTCCTTTAATGGCCTACTATTATTCCAAGGATGAGAAGTTGTTCGTCTACAGATATGTCAAAAATGGAAACCTCTTCAACCGCCTTCATGGTGATCATATACTTTATTCCTGCTTTATATATATATATATATATATATATAGATTGAGTTACTCAAAAATTTGTGAGTTTAAAATTATAAAATTCAACTTAAACTCGAACTCAAAACAATCTCATACTTTACTAGACAAAATTTCTAGTTCAAGTTCGATTATAGCTCACTAAAACTTGAACCTTAAATACATGAAAATCTTACCTAAAGAGGAGAAGAATAAGGGCTCTAGAAGAAAGGAGACTCTGGGGAAAGGAGGATAGTGTTCCTAATAGATTTAGAACTCATGAGCTAAGAGAATATGAGAAAACAAAAAAGAGTAGTCTGTCAATTGGTCAAATGTTCTTGCTCAATAATGTATATAAATTTTACTATTATAAATAATTTAATTTAAAAAATTTCAAATATAATATATACTTTGAGTTGGTTGCGAGTTTTTCGAATTTGGCATCAAATAATTTGTTTTTAAGTTTAAGTAAATCTCTTCAAATAAGTGTCAATCGAATTTTAATCAAATCAAACTCCCTATATAGATTCATTCATACATACATATTAATTAGAAACTGATGATGATATAGTTCATTGATGGAAAATGCAGGAGGGAGGCGTAGCAGGGACCGGATTCGTTTCAGTTGGGGCTCTAGATTGACCGTCGCTCAAAGCGTGGCACAAGCGCTTGAATATCTTCACCTCAACTCAAACCATTCCCAAGACACCGTTCCTCACGGAAACCTGAAATCATCCAACATTCTTCTCGACGACGACGACACCTTTCTAGTTTCCGATCACGGGCTCGCTTCCTTCATGACCCTTCCCATGGCAGCTCAACTTATGGTCTCATATAAATCGCCGGAATACCAATCCTCGAAAAGGGTTTCGAGAAAATCAGACGTATGGAGCTACGGCTGTCTTCTTCTGGAATTATTGACGGGGAGAGTCTCGGTTCACTCAGCTCCTCTGGGCATCAATGGCGTGGATCTTTACAAATGGGTTCAACGAGCTGTTAGAGAAGAATGGATTTCTGAGATATTTGATACGGAGATATCTGTGGAGAAAAATGCTGGTCCGGGGATGATGAAGCTGTTTGAGTTTGCTCTCCGTTGCTGCGACGAGTCGCCGGAGAAACGGCCCGAGATGACGGAGATCGTGAGAGAGATCGATGGTATATAGGGTGCTGGATCGGATAAAGACGTTGAATTGTCGGCGGTTCAATTATCGACCGACGAGTATTTCTGTACGCATGCTTCGACGGTGTTAGAAACTGGTGGTACCGGAAGTTGGTAAGATTTTTCTGAAACGGTCGAATTCTTTTGGCTCTTGTACTACGCTCAAAATTGAGGTTTAATTTCTGTACTTTTATTTAACATAATTTTATCTCTAAGTTTATAATATGGAGTATTCAAATACCTAATAGTATTAATTATTATAATTAAAACTATGGAGGGTAAAAATGGAGATGGTGAGAGAGATCTATGATATAAAGTTATATAAATCTTAATATTTTTTAAGGTAAACAATACGGGTGACCACTAAATTATTGTTTATTTTCATTTTGATCATCGAAGTTTTTATTTAATCAATCAGATAATCTAACTATTTAAATGTTTCAATCAAATCATCAATCATTAAATTTAAACCGAAAAAATGATGTTGCAGTGGAAAAGCTAGTATAATTACTTGTATGATCTTCAATATTTGTTCAATCTATTAATATAGTCATAATTTAATTTCAATTTTATATGTTTAATCTATCAATTAAATAGTAATATGTGTCAATACATGTCACCATCTGATTGACTAGAAAATTATTCCATCCGATTGAGTAGAAAATAGTTAAAGAAGAGAAGAGGGTAACAAACAGTAAAACACACTTTGAGGGATTTAGAGTCAGATTAGAGGAAGCATTGCAAGCATATGAGACATCTGTTTTGAAAATCGGACCGGATCGGTCGGTTCAACCGGTTTAATCAGGAACCGTTGTTTAGTCCGGTTCAATATAAACTGGTTGAACCGTTATTAGTGAACCGGTCAGAATCGCTGAACCGTTCGAACCGGACCGGCTGAAAATCGGGAAAATCCAAGATTTTTGTTTTTTTTTAAAAAAAATTAAACCAAACAACGTCGTTTGTTAAACGAGCCAAGTCGAACTCGAGTATTGATGAGCTCGACTCGAACTTGAAAACTTTAAAAGTAAGCTAAACTCAACTCAAACTCACAAGCTAAAAATTATCAAGTTAAACTCAAACTCGAAATATAATATTAAAACTTGAACTCAAAAAGGCTTGAACTCAAAAAAAAATTAGAAGCTCAATTGAAACCTAAAATTCGAGCTTGATTGAAGTGAAAGAATAGTTCACTCAATGCTCACCAAAAGGCTCCATGATTTTGAATGTCAAATTACCTCTATTATTTATAGAAGTTAGTTGTGATGCGCTTCTATGTTTCTTAGCAATGTGAGATTGTTTTGTTCTCATATTTTTACTCTTTAGACTTTTGGGATGCTCTTCTATATTTCTTAGCCATGTGTGATTGTTTTTTGAAAAAAATTAAACCAAACAATATCATTTTGTTATGATTTTTTTAACCTCAAATTTATTTTTTAATTATAGTTATATAATTATATTTATTATTTAATATATTTTACCTTAAATATTATGTTGTAGTTAATTTGAATCATTTTGTTTCACTTGATTTTATGGTTTTTAACTTATATATGTTATGACTTGCTTTGAATATGACTTGTGATATAAAAAAAAATTTTTATTAAATATTTTTGGTATTTTTATTTAATTTTTTAAATAATTATGACATCGTCCGGTTCTTCCGACCGGTCGAACCGATTTAACCGGTTGAACCAGTAAATCAATAACATGACCGATTTACTAACCGATCCGGTTCTGAAAACCATGCATAAGACCACTAGGCCAAGCACATTACTCTGTAATATTTTGAAACATGTTCCACAAAATCTATTGTAACTAAGAGGAGCGAAAAAAAGAACTAAAATACTAATGAAGGGTCTCGAAGCCAAAAAATTAAATTATATTATATTTAAATTATCCACCGACCAAAGCAACCATTTGATTAAAGTTCAAACATTATATAATTATTGATTATTATATTGATTATTATTTAGTGGTTACATGTAGTTTATCGTAATTTTTAATAATTTAGAGGGATTATAATTTAGGGCAAATTACATAAATAGCCACCGAATGTTTAGAGCTTTTGCATTTTAGTCGTTCAAGTTTTAAAATTTGTGATACAATCACTGAACTTTTAGTTCATTTTCAATAAGATCTCTAACACTACCTCCCATTAATTTTATCTGACGTGACATGTTACCTCCTCCTCCTCCTCCTCCTCCTCCTCCTCCTCCTCCTCCTCCTCCTCCTCCTCCTCCTCCTCCTCCTCCTCCTCCTCCTCCTCCTCCTTAATCCCATCAAATGAACCATATTAACCCACTAATTTTCTGAATCCCATGAAATGAGCTTCCCCTTTCATTTCTTTTAAAGATAATTCCTTCTCGAAAACCATCTCTCATTCCACCAACATCCATGCTCCTATCAAAAACCAAACGAGTAGAACCCAACTTCCAGTTCGAACTTGTCAAGTCAACACTTAATGAGACGTTCTCACTACAGTTGCCACGGCACTATTTCAAATAGAAACCAAAGTGTCTCTAACATGTTTTTCATGTTTAGGATTAGTCATCCCAGCAAAGATTTCATCATAAGTATTAATGTCCATTATCTTGTCGAGATAAATTGCAGCAGTCGTGCTTACGAATCTTTGAATGCTATCACCAATTAGCTAATTACATCTGTCATCATATAGAAGCAAATTAACCTATTGGGGCACATTAGATGACCCATCATTCCCATTCAACCGCTTCCTTTCTCCACCGCTTGAGTAAAACCCCAAAACCAGATTCCTAGTAAAGCTACCAAAAACAACAGATACAATCACCTCAATGTTGTTGTATTTGTTGGCATCCAGATAATCGTGGTGAGGGAAGCTAGGATTCGTGATAAACCTTTATTTTTAGTTACTGACTTGGTTAATAATATTTTGTACTAACATGTAGCATCAAACATACGTATATTCCAGTTGAAATGCGAGTTGTTTCCACGCGAGATAGTTGATAATCTCAGTTAGTACTTGTTATTAACTCTAATAATTTATTGATTCATGATTACAAATTTGGCATTATAATTTTCCCATGGATGAAATGAAAGATGAACAAAAATACAAGGTAAAGAAAGCTTAAAGGTGGGTAGATTCCACTACTAGCAGATTGTAAATTTAGCACTCTACGTGATAAACAATGTTAGAACTCTAACCTTTACATCTTTGTTGTCCAAAGCCTGCTATGGAAGCTTCTCCTCCTCCTAGGCCAAGATAACCCCGACCTAGAGAAGAAGCAGAAGAATAAGAATAAGAAGGTGGTAATATGTCTCGTCAGATAAAACCAACGAGAGGTAACGTCAGGGACCTTACTGAAAATGAACTAAAAGTTTAGTGATTATATTACAAGTTTTAAAAGCTGGGTGACTAAAACGCAAGCGCCCTAAAAGTTCGATAACTATTTATGTAGTTTACCCTACAATTTAATATTTCTTTTAAAGTTTTCTTAGCTTATTGACAAATGACAATTCATCTTCATTTACTCAAATTCAAGTATCCAGAAAGAATAACGATTTGTTTATAGGCCTACTACAGTGTTGTGAGATGTTAATTGCATGCACCATATGTAGCCTCTCGTTTTGATTTTTCGTTGCTGGTGAACCCAAGTGCATTTCAGCATCACGACAATCTTTGCAAATGGTTGCATGCAGGATAATCGAATAATAAATCAATTGAGCTACAGACAGATGAGGATGTTATCAGGTTTTCTTTTAATAAGCCACCGGGTAGATCTGTTTCTACAAACAAAAAGAGGAAAATGTCTAAAAGGAAAAAAACAGAATGAACTTCGATTCTCAAGGCCAAAAAGAAGATGAATTCGTCAAATCCAGAAGTTAGGATTAGATATAAACTCGAGAAGGTTAGATAGACTCTCATTTAAACTATAGTTTACATTTCTGGTCAAGCTTTTCGAGGGTTCGAGCTTTCTTAATAGTCACTGGTAAAAGGGAACATTGTGATTGTGATGCCTAGCATGTGGAGACGTTTTTATGGGGACAAGTGGTACCTTCTCTGCTCTATGTTATTGATGAAACTTGGTAATAAGCATACAAAGGGTCTTAGAAATTGCAAATAACGATTTCTAAAAATCGATTATGTTTCTTGCAAATGTGTATATAAAGGTTGCAAAGCTTGTCTATTTTTGATGCAGGACAATAATGGATATAACTCGAGTTTAAGTTGATGATGCATTCTGCAACTGAAACAATGACTGTTTTATTTGGCTCATACGATCAACACATATCTCATGCCGTAATCATTTGGTCAACTACACATTGGTCGGGGAACCTGCCATTGCCCTATAATTGCTCTATACATTGATCAAGTAACCAGCCATTTGCATAAGTGCTCTGCTTTAGATGTTCCGAATAATGGAATTCCTGCCATGGGTGCGGAAAAGCCCCGACATCGTGGACATCCCGCATCCGTAAAAGGTTTGAACTTGAGTTGAGATCACTATTCCTTCCTCTGCCTTTTAGTTCTTCTCACACATGGAATCACTTACTTTCAATTGCATGTTTTCCATCATTCAATCCGGCGAGAACGCCGCACCATCTTCGATCGAACAAAGAGGGACCTGGATATGTTGTAGTCAAGTAAGTTGTTTGAGATTGATGATGGGAGTAATTATCATTGCCAGCCTCTTCTAATAAAGACTGTAGTCAATGCCGTCGTCGTCGTTTGAATATATGAAAGATGAGATCAAATAAATAAAAGAGTCATTTGAATAGTTAAAATTGAAATACAATGCTAAAAGCAAACAATTTACATGACAAATCAATTCATGGAATAAGAGATTAAAAATAATTAAGGAAAACAAAATGATCATGATTTAAACACCCTAAAATCGTTAGTGTACTTAAAACAATTGTTGTATATATATATAATTTATCATATTTTACCCAAAAAATAAATGCACGGCATAAATACTTTGTTTGTGAAGAGATGGAATTATTATAGTAAATTATAAAAAAAAAACGTTTTAATTAAATTATAGAATTAACATGATATTAACAAACAAATTTTTATTTAATTCAATTACCATAATTTTAAAATTAACTTTTAGACAAAAGCCACCTTAACCTTTAATAAAAAGCATAATGTACAAACTACTTCCAACGTATATCAAAATAATTATTTTAATTCATATTCTCTTTTTTGAAGTGTTTTAACGTTCAAAGTTTCATTTTGGAATAAAAAGACTCCTTCATAAATGGAAATTGTTAATTAACAAATGGTCTAACACTCCAAAATGTGAATCTTTTTACCTTAAAATGAAACATTAAAGGGCCAAAATGCTCTAGAAAAAAAACAAGGGTCAAAATGAATATTCAATCAAATATTATGACACTTTTTATCCTAAAATGAAACGTTATAAAAGTTAAAATGCTCAAAAAAAAAGAATAAGGATCATATCATCACTTATATATGTATTATATGTTTCATATCATCAATTATGTCGCACAAAACTTTTCACATCAATAACAAACATTGAACCAATAATTTCTATCCAATCAGAGATTAATTTACCCAAAATAAAATATTAAGAGTTAAAACGCTCTAAAAAGAATAATAAAGATCAAAATAATTATTCAATCAAAATGTTAGGAAAACTTTGACATTATACCATAAACTAGTAACTAACTTTTACATGCTTCTCTTTTATGTTAGTCAATGTTCGAATAATGCTTCTCATGGATCAAAGCCCACTCGAAGAACATGGTGACTTAGGGACAAGCACGTCAGTGGGTGAAGGCATGCAGTCAACAACATAGGGAAAATACACAAAAGCAGGCATTAGAAAAGAGTCGAACAGCAGAGCAATGGTGCCTGAAGAACCTACACTCATCTAGGTCTTTAGGACTTCAAAACTGCACTGAGCTGAAAAGACAAGACTAATGACTGACATTGTTGTCGGTATCTTGGTCGATGGGGCTGACCGGAGGTTGTTACAAAGACAAATTGGTGAAATATATTGCAGGATCATGGCATGCCATTGCCAGATTTATTTCATAAAAATATATTGGCCTAGTAAATGAACCTTTTGTACAATACCGAGTAGTGAGTTAATTTAGATTATTATTATATAAGGAAAACAATTCAAAAATTGTACCCTTTAACATGCTATGTAAATGTGAAATGACTGGTTCACTTTCCATAAAGCCATTCACCAAACCTAACATAGAAGAAAACGATGAGAATAGAAAGAAAAAGGGGGAGGGGGGGGGGGCAATTACTCATATCATGAAGATTAATCATGATAGAAAAACCTTGGAACAATAGACATTTTCAGTTCCCACAACTCCCAAACTGCATAAATGTTGCTACTTGTCGAACTTAACTAAGATCAAAGCATCTTTCATCGAGTTTTATTCATGGAAACAGTTGAAAATTATTCATTACCTACTATCTAGGTATTCGAATAACAATCCATAGTCCTCACAAGGTCGGAAGATTAAGGGTACCAGTTCCTCATTCATTGGCAGTCCCACCCTCTGGTTGAACACTCCCTCCATCTACATGATAGCATGATCAATAGAATTTAATTAAGCACCATTTCCCCACCAGAAAAGATAAAAGGAATGTTAATGCAAAAAGATCATTAGTTCCTAGGAATTTGCTATGTCAATAACTAGGCATACCTTCACCATCAGCTGGGGCACAAGGAGACTTCCTATATCGTGTTTGTTGTTGTGTGGGCTGAAAATTGAGCAAAAAAAAGCATAAGCAGCTTAAGAGTACTAAACAATTTTGTGAAAAGAGATAAACTCGTAGAACACTAAATAGGTTAAGAACTAATATGATACATCACCGGTATATTTCCAGAGCATACATCAGGATAAAGTTGAACAGGAAGAAAAGGTAGTACGAGTCCACAACCAACAAATCATCCTAAAACCTTTTTTTTTTTGTATTTCCTAAAAGGAAGGGTTTGACATTTAAAACTTCATTACAACATGATTCTGGATATTATCTTGTATAAGAAAATCATAATTTTCTCTTCATAAAAGTCATCAGATATAAAGTCAGCATGAGATGCAAGTCCAATTAATTATGTAGAAGAAACAACAAATTCCGAACCCAGTACCAAAAAAATATATAATTAAGGTAATGGATATATGTTAAAATTTAGGTCACAATAGTGCAAATGCTAAATTACAAGACTTCTTACACCATTTTCCCTTTCCCAACATAAATACACACTTATAAGGCAAATAAATCCAAAATCCCAATAAAACCATTGTTGGGACTGATTTTAGCATGATATTGTGAGACCTATGCAGAAAGTGCACTTTGTTCCAGTAGTTAAAGGCCTAAGAGGATCTACATATAGCAAACTCTTTTTCTCCTCCATACCTGTAAAAGTTCTAGTCACGGTCATTGAACCAATTAAGAGGGCCATGAGTGACCAAATTAAAGAGAGTCTGAAAAAAGTATGCCGGATAGATTTTAACTTTTGGCCAATTAGAGAATCCTATACAAGTGGACCAAATTGATTCAAGCTTTCATTGAATAAACCCATCTTCCGGCACTAGCAAATGACAAGCTACTGGGTTTCTCTCCCTAATCAGAGGAATTCACTATAAAATGTATACTTTTCAGTGTAAACCTAGGGTATCCCCAAGCCAATCGAACTTGGGACTAATTACTTTCAGGCCATTGGTGTTTAAGGTAAAGTCCTCCCAGCAAGTACACTCCCGAGGTGCGAATATTGTGTTCTCACTTGTACGGGACAAGGCTGCTACCACCTCAACCAATATCTTATTGGTTTAAAACACATTTATATATAAAAAAATTCCATCATATGTTTTCCATGTGATTTGGATCAAAATATCTAGTTCAAGGAAGTCAAAGGCCATTACACGAGAGATTATTATATTTTTACAAGCATAAAATTAACACCTGCAATTTGGGACGGAGGGCTTCAAGTGGTCCTTTGGGCTTCTCAGCACCTTGCTGTTAGCAATTAGCATCCAAGAACATCAAACAATAGTGAAAACGTAGGTTTAATCTGGATTCATTAGCATAGCCGAGCTAAAATAACAAAACCAAAAAAAAAAGTTAGATTCATAAGGGATGGCGGGAATCACTAAAGCTACCTTTCCAAGTGCCCAATCAGCAGAATCAAAGTAGGCACGTTCATGGTCCTGAGATCCAAAATGAAAAATATTGATGAGAAATAGCACAAGCCAGAAACCCAAAACTTTTCAACTTTCCAAGAAATTACCTTAGAGATGAGTGGCGGTTTCTTGGGCATAATCCCTCCATATTTTTTCTTTATAGCTTCCTAAAGTAGATATACAAGACAAGTAAATCATTGCATGTACAGAACACGAGAGAGAAAAATGTAACCCAGTACATGGCTTAGATCTTTGATCAACATTCCAAAATGAAGTGAGATAAGAACAAAACCTCCTCTTGAGATGGTGGTAGCACAGAATTTTCAGACTCCTCTGCAACATTTTCATCTACTTGTTTTTGCTCTTTGGAATCCTCCATGCCTGAGATTAGCTACTTGCAACCACCCAACCAATATCACCTACTGTAGTACACAAATAATATGCATAAAGCTTCAGTAAAGCTAAAACATTACCAGATTACAGGCAGCAGCAAAATGAAGGAAAAAACACTTAATGAGTTAATTCTCATTAAATAAATGAGGTTGCCACTGTCGAATAAAATTTATGAAATCTTCATAAACCTGAGGAATGCATCATCCAGAATACTATGGTGCTAGTAAATACAGCTCTCAGAGAATATCCATATCTACTTATACCAATTATTAACATAAAAAAAACATTGGAGTTCACTTTAAACATTCATATTCAAAGAATGAGACAACCAAAATCTAAAGTTAAAAAAAAAACTCCAAATCCATAGAATATATGCATATAGATACTGATAATAAATACAAAGCACTAAATTTAATTAATTTGACGCATAAAAAATGAATCCTTGCTTAAGCTAGAAAATTTAATTGAAAACCTATGAAATCCATAACTATCATCCAATCAAACCAAAACATATTCTGCAACTAATGGAAAAAAAAGCCTACACGAAAAAACCAAAACCCTAGGTGCTAATAATTATTTCAGAAATTAATCAGAAAACAAATGAGAAAAAATGGAGTTGAAATCAAAAAGGAAGGGGGAAATTGAGAATGATCGGGTACCTGAAAATTCAACTCTCTGCGGAGATCGGAAATTCAAAGGAATAATTTTGAAAAATGGCGTTTGAAATTAGAATATAGATTTAAACTGCTTTTTTTGCGTTGTTGAAATTTTTGGAGTTGTTATAGTCTACGATATTTATGATAAGGGCTTGCTTATTTTTATATTCTTCTATTTTTGGCCCCTCGGTTATTTATTTCTTTCAAATTACCCTGTTGAATGTATCAGTAATTTGTCTTTTAGAACTTTTTTTTTTTTGAAAAGATTTTTCTGACTCAAAGAATATACGAAATTATTCATTGTTAAAAAAGTGGGCAAAAATGTACAGGTAATGCATTGAAAAAAAATTGTGTACTACATTTGAAATTTTTACTTTCTAAATTAAAGTGATATTAATAATGTCCGAAGAAGACGATATGATGTTTTTTTAAGAATAAGGTTATAAGACATGATGTCGTTCAATTTTTCGATTGAAAAAAAAAAAAGAGATCTCTTTTCTTGTAGGTTTTTCTTGTTCTCAGTTCACCCAACAAGAAAAGAAGTGGAACTTTGTAAGTTAAATTAAGAACATGAGTAGAGGAGAATATATTGTTGTGTTTCATAAGCTGAAAAGATTCAAAGGTGAGTAAAGGACGTTGTGTTAATTACAGGATTTGGAATCAGTTGAGGCAACTTTTTATAAGCAGAAAATTAGATGGCTCTAAGAGGGGGACATGAGTACTAAGGTGTTCCATTCGCATGTTGTAGTTAAGAATAAAAGGAACACAATTAGGTTTTTGGTGAATGACAAGAGGGAACGATTAGAGAGCTTTGAAGAAATGTCTTCTAAAACGATCAATTTTTCACCAACTTAATTGGTATTACTGATGTGAAGGCTACAGATTGTGATGTGGGTCTGGTCAAGGAGTTACTTGAGTACTCGTTCTCAGAAGGGGCTTCGGATTTGTTGATCAAACCTGTTTCGAATGATGAAATTAAGGCTATGATTTTAGACAAGGGGACGATAAGGCTCCAGGGCCAGATGGATACACCCCACTATTTTTCAAGGCTGCATGGTCCATTATTGGTGCTGATTTTATAAAAGCAGTGCACTATTTCTTTGATACTAGATACTAGATACTTGTTGCCGGCTTTTACTTCCACGATTGTGGTTCTTATTCCTATGACTGTGAATGTGTGCAGGATTCAGGAATATCGACATATTTCTTGTTGCTCAGTGGTTTATAAGACCATTACAAGGATTTTGGTGGAGAGACTTGCTGTCTATTTTCCGAATATGATTCTTCCTAGCCAATCGGCATTTGTCAAGGGTAGGAGCATAGTCGATAACACATTGCTTGCTCAGGAGTTCGTTGTTGGTTATGTTAGGAAATCAATTTCGGCGCGTTGTGCGCTTAAGGTGGATCATCAGAAAGCATTTGATAGTGTGAGTTGGGATTTTATTTCGACTGTTTTGGATGCAATAGGGCTGCCGAGGGGTTTTAAGAATGGATTAGAGTTTGCTTAAGTCTTGTGGGGTATTTCCGTGGTGCGAGAAGGGCTCGTCAAGGGGACCCTTTGTCCCCCTACTTGTTCTTGCTGTCTATGAATGTGCTATTGAGTATGTTGGATGTGGCTGCCAGGAATGGTATTTTTTGATACCATCCTAAGTGCAAGAAGATTGGTTTGACGCACTTGTGCTTCGCGGATGATTTAAAGATATTCTCTAAGGGTTCAGCTGATTCTATTACTGGTATTCAGTCGGTTTTAGGGAGGTTTTTTGAGATGTCGGGACTTTGGTTGAACCCTTCAAAGTGTGATCTATTTTCGGCAGGGGTAGATGTTGGTGAGTTGCAGGATATGCAGAGAATTTGTTTTAGGGAGGTTTTTTGAGATGTCGGGACTTTGGTTGAACCCTTAAAAGTGTGATCTATTTTCGGCAGGGGTAGATGTTGGTGAGTTGCAGGATATGCAGAGAATTTTGGGGTTCAGGCCTGGTGTGCCTCCTATTCGTTATTTGGATGTTCCTTTGGTCACGAGGAAGTTGATGGAGTTGGATTGTCAACCCTTGATTAGAAGCATTAGTAGCATATTGAAGTAATGGGTTAAGCATAGGTTGAGTTATGTGGGCGCTTACAATTGATTCGTTCAGTGTTGTTTGGCATTTCGAATTTTTGGTGTCGACAACTTATTCTTCCAATGAGTGTTATTAACATGATTGAACAAATTTAATCTCGATTTTTCTGGAAGGGTTTCGATTCTGCTGACACACGGGCTAAGGTATGTTGGCAGTGTGTTTGCCTAAACCAGAGGGTGGGTTGGGTATTAAAGATCTTGCTTGTTGGAACAAAACTTGTATTTTCCGTTTGATGAGAAGTTTATTGGCGAAAGAAGGGTCTCTTTGGGTTGCGTGGGTGAAAGCTTATGTATTCAATGAGAAGGATCTTTGGTCTGCGGAGCTGAAACAGTCGACTAGTTGGAGTCTTCGGAAGATTTTCTCGCGGAGCTTTGAGTGGTATTTGGGAAGAAATGCGTAATAGGGGGACAAGGTGGAGTGGCAGCATCTCTTTTGGTTCCCGTTCCATGTTCCTAAACATGTAGTGATTGCTTGATTGTCCATTCTTAACAGGCTGGCAACTAAGGATCGGTTGTTGAGGATGGGGATGGTCGTGTGCGCTAGGTGTGTGTTATGTGATGTGATTGATGAATCCCGGGATCATTTATTTTTTTAGTGCTCGTTCTCGGTTGATATATGGAGCAGGGTTCTTCAACTATGTTGTCAAAATAAGATGGACCGGTCGTGGGATAGTGAATTAGAATGGGCGGTTTCTACGTTAAAGGGTAAGTCCATGGTTGTTACTATCATGAAGTTGGCTTGGAGTGCGTTTCTTTACTTGATTTGGGAGGAGCGTAATAAGAAGATTTTTCGTTGTTCACCAAGGGGGAGATGTTATTCTTGATTTGTTAAAGGATTTAGTTTGTTTTAAACTTTATAGAATAAAGGTAGATAGGTTGAGAGCTATTGATAGTAGGTTTTGTACAGGGTGGGAATTTGTTGTTTGAGTGTCATGGTTTTTGTTGATGGTCTTGTTTTTGTGTGCTTGCTGCTTCTTTGGATATAATACAATCGATTTATCTCAAAATATATATATATTGTTGTGTAAAAAATGTCACGTCTTTTATTTGTATCAGCTCGCAGATTCGGTATCAGGATAATCCCAGATGTTGAGATCAGCACCATATTTTCTCCAAGGTTCTTTTTTGATTAATAGAATAATCATCGTAAAATGATTTTTTTCTTTTATTTGTATAATCAGTCTGCAAAAGTTAGCAGGTAATCGAAAGAACCAGACTTTCTGGTTTTCTTTTTCTGTTCTTCTACGCCTCTTATGTTTCATTTATTGATTCAAAAGCAGAAATCCCGGAATGGAGGAACCCATGCACATCCTTGCACATTACAGCAGCTGTGGCCCCATGAGGCACGAGGAGCTGCAAAAATTATTGGCTAACATTCGGGAGGGACGATATTTACGTGCCAAGGACATGGTTTTGAAACTCAATAAACTCAAGCTACCACTTAAATGGGAACATGTAACAAAGATTGCAGGCAATGGAGTGGCTCCTGGGCGATTGCATGTTGCTTGAGCTATGGTCGAGGCAGGTTATGTAGAGAATCTAAAACAAACTTTTGCCAGATATTTATATGATGGTGGCCCTGCTTATTCAACGTAATATTTGTTTATATCTTTTCCTTCTTAATTATGCCCAATTCATATTTCTTCACCCTTAGCAATGATATATGGAAACTTTTGTTTGGTCCCTGTTATAGAGGAAGTGAGCCTCTTGCAGAAGAAGCAGTACGGCTTATATGTGAAACCGGGGGTTTAGCAGTCCTTGCTCATCCGTGGGCACTAAAAAACCCTATTCCAATCATAAGACGGTTAAAAGATGTGGGCCGTCATGGAATGGAGGTTTACAGAAGTGATGGAAGACTGGCAGGTATTTGTTTGCAACACCTGCATACTTTTACATATTGGCTTAGCTGTCCCTGTACTAGGGCAAAAAAAAAATACAATCGTGCTATGCTCCATTTCATTGTGATTGCATAATTGCATATTTTGTTATTCATTTACTTGTTTATATTGAGCTTAGCTTTTACACAAGGCTGATATGAGACTGCTTTTAGTTAAAAGCTTTTCATGTCCTTTTGATTTACAGCATTTAATGACTTATCGGATACGTATGAACTTCTGAAGCTTGGAGGATCAGACTATCATGGGAGAGGTGGGAATGGTAAGTCCGAACTCGGAAGTGTGAACCTTCCAGTGCTGGTTTTGCATGAGTTTCTTAAGGTAGCTCGACCTCTCTGGTGCGGTGCCATTAAGGACATCCTTGACAGTTATGCAAAGGAACCCTCTGCTTTGAATCTAGCCAGGATCGCAAGATTATCCAGGATGAACAGTTTTTAAAGGGAACTTCTTCCTTGAGTTGTGGCAAGGACTGGATCGATCGATGTTTATTGTCGTGGTTGACTACTGAAGAACGACAGAATGCCGAATTTGAGGCTATTAAGTTGAAGCTTTCACTTGCCTCAATTGACCTGGGTGGAGTACAAGTTCTTATAGAGACTAACTAGTGTGTTTCTTGCCGTTGCTGCCAAGATAATCGTGTGGCATTTGCTTTTAATAGTTTTTTTTTTTTTTGGGGAGGGGGGAATCTAAACTAAAAAGTATTCATGCTTGGTGGTAACCACTGGTCAACCGAATATGCCTTTTTTGTTTTGAAATCTTTGTTTTCTTGAAAGTTTTATGCACAATTTGAATTCTCGTGTTGAACACATCAATTATAAACGAAGAGACTGCAGTGCAGTATGTACGATTGACCAGGCTTTTCCTTTATTTTTTGGTGTTTCCATTAAAAAGATAATTGACACTGCACGTTTCCACACTAAATAAAATCAGCAGGGGCACAGTTCAGACATATCTGCCATGATTTTAGAAATGATTGGTGTTAATAAGAATCGAAACAAGAATATCAATTACAGATTACAAGTGCATAAGTAATAAATTCTTTTAGACTGTAAATTTGACAGTTTCTACAATAATTCGAGGACTAATATGTTGTCATACAATCTGGGATGTAAAAGGCAGCATGGATTCCTACGCGGGCACCATCCGAAAAAACTCTTTAAGACTATGTCGAAAGCCAAGGTGATGCATGGGAATAATAGGCAGATTAATCATCTGAATTTTCCGATTTCGGCCTTCTTCCTGATCTTTCTTTGACCATGATATACAAACGAGTCGATTATCCCCGCAAATGTGAAGATACCTAAACGAGAAGTAACACAATCTTGGTCACTTTAAACGAACACTGACATATCAGGTAAAGCAAGGCCAAAATGCGTAAGGAAATAAAGGATCTGGGAAAATATAGTGGGAGTTAGAAATGATAGTACCTCCAATTACAGCACATATATTGGTGATGAAGTGCAAAAATGAAATATGTTCCTCCCTAAAAGTGACCTGTACAGGGAAAGATGAAAACCCATGTTATACCGTCTTTTTTCTAGATGTTTTCGAGTTAATATCATCATGAACTATGCTAATGATATCTGTTTAGAATAAAAAGAACCTACCTTGATTGGAGAAAAGTCATAGAAGAAGTAAACTCCAGGATGAGCATTAGGGCTAATGAACTCCAAATCCATGAAATGCTCCGTCACGGAATACTGTGCAGTAGGAATCATAGTACACCTCAGTACATGATCCAATAAACATGATAAAATAATTTGATTCTTACTCTCAAAGTGTGAACTTTCAAGCAGTACCTGATTAGAGTTAACAGTGCGGCCTCTGATGTCAGTATATATTGTGGGTACTACCTGCAAAAATAACCAAGATATCAGTTGTGACAAGTCCATAGATTGCTTCCGGTGTATACAGGGTGACCCCAGAGAGACTGCTACTCTTTTTCTCAAAGAAAAACGGAGAGCAGTTAATATATGTTTTAGGCATCATGAGCATGAAAATGAAAGCGAAGTCACAGGAAAATGTTCATCTGTCAAAAAAGGAGCTTAAAAACAAGGAACATCCCTAGATTCTTTAAAATACCAACCTTGATGAAGTACTGGTACATTCCATTTGAGGTTTTATGTGTCCATTGTCCCCTGAAATAGCAATATGAAACAACCATTAAAAATTTCAGTACTTGCATTTGGCTTCACTTTCATCTTGAAAAGAAATATGCCAAATAACTCTAACAACCAGGAAATTTGAAAAAAAAAAATTAATTGAAATTTGAGGATTTAATCGAGTAATTTGGCGAAATTTGAGGATTAAATTGAAAGTTCTCAAAACTTGTAGTTTGTTTTAGGGATGAAGGAAATTCAGGGACCAAGCCCTGAATTTACCCTTGGAGTGTCGGCAGACACGCATTATAAGCATGAAACATCAAATTTCCTCCCTCAATGCCCCAACTTCCAACCACGATCCTGACGTCGTCTGACTTTCGATCGTTGTTTTGAAAACACCATCGTGTTTATCATCGAGCAAGGAACAAACCACATAAATTAATTGAAGTGAACACTGTCAAACGTCGTGAATTTCAAGTCAAAGTCTCAACTTTTTTTAGCACCATCGCTGAGAAAATCTTAAATTCATCGCCGATCGTTGCTCTGTTTTCGACACCTCCCGCACCATCGTGTTCCTTGTACCGTTTCGAGTCCGCCCGTGTCATCCTTGGTCTCCGTCAGCGGCGACGCGTGAGGAGGTGAGGCGGTCAAAGTTTTCGATTTGTTGAAATCGAGCTCTCCGCCGTTCAAAAATTTGAACCGAGCTTTGTAGGTACCTCGAAATCGCTCAAAATAATTTTTAAAAATTTTTATATGAATTTTACGACGCCAGAGAAGGTCCCACGCGCCGCCACTGCGCGTGGGGAAGGTTAAAAAAACTGTTTGACCGGTTTTGAACTGGTTTGACCGGTTTCGATCCGACCCGTTGACCCAACCCGACTCCTTGACCGAGTGATATTTTCGTAATTATTTTGAAAATTGTGCTATTTTTGTAATTATTTGAAAATGGTGATATTTTCGTAATTATTTTTAAAAGGTGATAGTTTCGTAATTATATTTAAATTTTCATAAATATTTCTTAAAAGGTGATAATTATGTAAAATGGTTTATCATCTGTTGACCACCTTTGACCAGAACTTTGACCGGCTTTGACCGGCCATTAAACGGCCGTTAACATTTTCCGAGTATACCTATTCTGACATTTTTCTACGTCCCAGATCCGTTTTTGGTGTTCGTTTCGTCAAATTCGAACCCGAAAGTCTCCAAATCATCAGTCAAACCCGTTGACTTTGATTTTGACCAATAATTCAAATTCCTGGAAGGTCATATTTTATATTTTCCGACGTCCTGAATCTGATTCCGAAGTCCGTTTTGTCAAATTCTGACCCGAAATCCCCGAATCGAGCATGTGAACCCAAAAGGCTTAGTATTCTAGTATTTTGATTATTTATTTGAGATTTGGTTAAGGTATTGATTCAGTAAAATATTTTATGAAGGTACTCGTGTTTCACCTGAGCGATGATCAGTTAGGTCTGGAGTTGTCCGTTCATTAGATCAGCCCGAACTGCGTACTACGAGAATTACCCGTAGGTTTCCGTATATTATTTAAATAAATATTTAGATTATTTATATTAGGATTCCAATATGAATTTTTCTAATTCGTAGGATCTAGCGCTGCAGCAAAGCGTGATCGACAAACCAGTAGTAGGCTTCCCTATCTGGTTTCTCAGACTGTTACAGGTGTATTTCCTGACGGTGTTATCTTACTGTTTTAAACTATCATATGAATTGTTTCAAATTGATGATGATTTTGAATATTGTTAAGACATGATACCTGATTTCTAAATAATGGTTACCCGACACCTGATTTACCGAATATTACTGATCTGATTTATGGTTTCTGTAATTTCTGCATATGATTTTCAAGCATGAACCATTTTCATGTTTTAATTGATTAATATTCATTTTCACCTAAATACATACATGTTTATTACTGTCATTGGGATATTATTGAGGGAAGTATTTCAGGCTCCTTTGCTGTGTGCTCAGGGTAAGACCTTATTGGTGTGCAGGTGGGTGTATGGTTCTGGGAAACCTACACATTTTGGTAATCGGAGTGATTGGATGGGGAAGTTATTACCGCAGGCTCATCGGCTTTGTGCTCAGGGTAAGTCCTTACTGGTGTGCAGGTGGGTGTATGGTTCTGGAAAACATAAAAATTCTAGTAATCGGAGTGATTGGATGGAAATAGTGTTCATGTTTTTTTAACATGTTTAATAAACTGATTTTTACTGCAATATTTTATGTGTTTAATTTTACACTGTATGAAACACACTGGGCTTTTTTGTAACATCCTCAATACTGGGTTAGTGACCAAATTGTAAAGTTTCAGAAATTGGTGACTAAAGTAGGATAATTGAATAGTTCAATGATTTATTGGAAATATGATGAAGGTTATTTAGTAATTATTGAATGAATTAAAGGGTAAAATGTAGTGAGATAAGGATCTCTTGATATCCGACATACCTGCTCTGCACCAAAGCACGAACCACAATATGTCTCATTTTTTTCAAGCCTGCCACCGTGCCTCTGCAGAGGTTTCTCAATCTGAAAAGAAAAGAAGCAAATTAAGCCAAAATGAACCAAATTTGGAGGCAAAGACAAAACAAATAAAAAGAAACATGATGAAGGCTATTTAATTAAGTGGTGGCAAAATCCATCAAATGCCAATATGTAGGGGACTTAAGGTAAAAGGAGATTGTGACATCTTAATAATCCGAGAGCCCTTCAACCAAACATCTGTAACAGGGTCCTCAACGCAAAACTTTACCCATTACAGTTGCATTGCTAATTATCAATAATTAGATCCTCGAATAATGTTAGCAACCCAAAAGCTGCTGCCTTTCTTAACTGGTTAACAGAATAAGCCTTAAAACAAAAGCTTTCAGCACCATCTACTCAATTGTAAACTATGAACCGTTACTTCAAAAATTTCAGTCACCACAGAAACTGCTGCTGGTATATTTGCTCTAGACAGCCGAGATGCATTCGCTTTTTAAGCAATAGCTTTTTTATGATCCCATTAACATATCCTCTCTTTTCATAAGTAGAAATAGAATACTTTTAATTTCAATTGTTCCTATCCAGCATATTTCCAACCTTGTAACAAGTCATTCTATTACATAAGTTGTTTCTATTTAAGGAAAATCAACCTTCAAAACCAAGAAAAAGAAAAAAAATGCATGCAAACAAGAAGGGCTAGAGAATTATATTTCAACTACCTTTGGAGCTCCAATACCATCCGGCCTGGATTCTATCACATCACCATGAGCATTGATTCTTTTCTTAATTATATCATGTTTCTGCACATAAGCATCGCAAGGTTACAAATGAAGCAGACAAAGAATTTGGAAAAAGAACTCACTGAAACTAATCAAAATAAATCTATAAGTATCTGTTGCACTGCACGTACTATGTCATGATGTTGCTCGCCACTTATATCCATAGTGTCAACACTGAGTAGCGTACATGGAATAGCAGGAAAAGTGACATCAAACTGCAAATCCAAAAGATATGAGGTGTAAATAAAGCATGAAAGATTGTTTAACATGAACATTTTTTAATATAAAAGGCTCCAACACCATGCTTTGAATATTCATCGTCAGTAGAGGATCAAGTAGAAAGGTCAACAATATTACGCAAACATGCACACGATACGCAACATCGACAACCCTTTTACAGGGAACACATTTGGATTATGAATCTAGGAAACTCAGTTAACAATAAGTAAGAAGAAAGATAGTTACATTTATGTGGAAGGTTTTGCCTCTTGAAGTATCCACCAATAGCTTTGTCTCAGTAACGGTATGAAGGTATAATGCTGCAAATAAAAGAACAACCAACATAATAAAAACAATTATGAATCAAAGATTAAACAACACAAGGTTCCAAACACAAACATAATTTTGGGAGGAAAAAACATATAGTGACAAATGACAATTTGATAATAGACTCAGTTGCTTAATTTATAGCATTAACACCTTTGGTTCTCATCTAAGTGGAGACCGAATATGAAAGGCAAACAATATGCATCTAAAAATAGTACAAAGTTTTATTTCTAGGAGTGGAGACCAAATATAAAAGGCAAACAATATGGATCTACAATAGTGCAAAATTTTACATCAATACTCAATCACTTCCTCAAAGATCTTACCTTTACACATTGGGTATATAATTGAGAACACAAAAAAACCCAAATTTCTAAAACTAACAAATACACAAAAATTCACAGAAAAGGGGGTGAATAGAGTTGAGATAAAACTAACTGAATTCGGAGAAGACAAGGAGTAGTATGGCAAGGGAGGAAACGAGGGTGATAATGCCACCGAAGAGTGTACGGCTGTAGAAATCGTCATTGACTTTAGGGTATGCGTCCAAATTCCGTAGCTTGTTGAAGACGGTGTTCATCATGGCCAACCCCTTTTCACCGGAGTTAAAAACAAAAACTAAACACGTACCAAAACAGCTTGTTTGAAATATATGTTTGCTTGTGTCTTTTTATAAGGACTAAATCAATTAATTAATATGTACAGAGAAATGGATAAAGGAAAAGTGGGATTATTTTTTTGGAGACGACGGCGGCGATTACGAGAAGAAAGAAAGGAGACAGAGACAGAGAGAGAGAGAGAGCGACGACTGAAGGCCGTGAAAGACTCTCGAGTCAAATTACATAAATGGGCATCAATCATGGAATGCATCAAATGGGTCGAAGTCAAATTTGATGTCTTAAAATGTCAAACCAAATTCATAATATTTTATAAGCAAAATCTTTCTTCCTTCGCCGCGGAGATTATCTGATATCACCTTTTGAAGCCCTAGGCCTCTTTGGAATTTCTTTGTAAAATGATCAAACACCCTTCAAATCGTATGATTATCTTCAGTTTCTCTCGCGTTTTGAATTTATACATGCAAAGCTTCCATTTTTTGCCCCCTTGAAGGAAACAAATTTTTCTGCTGTCTATTTGTCATCTGTTGATAACTGTTTTCTTCATCGTTTCCGGTTGGCATAATGCCACTGTTCTAATTTACCCAAAATATCCACCTACAATGCAAGCACCTCGTTTACATGTTTTCAGTTTTTATTGTACAAAAATAGTTTACCGACCTTTTCACTTATCTGTGTTACTTTCTCAACCTAGTAATAATTTTAACTTTAATATTTATTTGAATGAATCGAAATATTTTAATAATAAAAGAATTATGATTATTTTTTAAGATTTTGACCATCAACTATTAAGTCCTTTGGGAAAACTTAATATTTATTTTTTACTATTTTAAAAGAATAAAATTTAACCATCTTAAAAAATTATATTATTATTTTGGGTAAAGTACATAAATGATCTCTCAAGTATAAGATATTACTTTATTAAATCTTTTAATTATTAAAAGTTACAAAATGGTCACTCGACTATTTATTATGTTTCAAACTTATCATTTTTCATTAAAAAATTAACGATCGTCTGAGCTAGATGTTAACATGTTTACTGATATATGATAGTTGTTTGAGATTATGAGATCAAATTTTATAAATGTCTTAGTTAGCAGGTTAACGTACAATTCATCTTGTTGTCAAATTTTAACGAATAATGACGAGTTTGGAGCAAAATGAATAATCGGGTGACCATTTTGTAATTTTTAATAGTTAAGAGACTCAACAAAGTAACTCCTTCTAACCGGATGATTATTTTATAACTTTCAATAATATGGTCACTTAATAAAATAATATTTTATAATCGAGAGATCATTTATATACTTTATCCTATTATTTTTTATAAAAAATATGGACTAAATAATTAAAGTTTTAATGATGCTGACATAATTGTCTACTTTATACAGTAAATACATATGCACGTCACATTAATTTTATAATATAATAATATTATAGGATATGTAATACACTAATTATCTCACAAAATCTAGATTACACTTTAACAATTAATAATTTTTACTTGGTACATTCGCTTTCAGTTTTGATGATAAAAAATGAAATAGAGGTTCGTTTAGATACATACGAGATTCAAATTTGACGAATTTCGATTTAATTTAATTTTATTGGGATAGATTTTCATAAAAATAGAATTTATATCAGATCGAATAAAACCTCTTAAAAGATGAATTCAAGTTGAATCATGTTTAAATTTAAAATAAAAATATTTAATCCAACATGAAAAATTATATGATTATATCTTATATATTTAAGAATAATTATAATATATTCATCTATATATTATTATTTTAATTAAATATCTTTTTTATCTAAGATTTTTAATAAATTTATTTACTTCAGCTCTGAGTTCCAATTTGTTTCGAAAACGGATCAATTTGTGAATCGGGTGAAATCATCCTAAGAATCAAATTTGAGACAAAGAGTATACGTTTTTCATATCGAATCACGTTGGCTAAAAATCCGACACGCCTATCCCTAGGTCTATTGATGCACATGTCTCGTTATTTACTAGCTTTGGTACAAAACTAAATTTTATATCCCAAATTTAGCCCAAAATAAATACATGTACTAATTAGGGGTGAATTACTCTACACGAAAAAAATGAATTTTTTTAATTTTTAGTTATTCAAACTATTCAAATCAACTCAAATTATCAATTTGATTTTAGAGTTTAAGTTGAAATTTTAAAATTTTCAGTTATTCAAAAAATAAAAAATTCAAGAGAATATTTTAACAGTTTTACAATTTAATCTCTGATTTTATTATACTTTTAATTTCTCCTCTATTTTAAATCGATTTTTACCAAATTTTAATTATATGCTCCTAAAACATCGTAGAATACATTGCACTTTTAATTTCTCTTTTTGATAACAATTTTTTTTATTTTTCAATTTAATCCATCAATTTTTCATAATTTCCTTATTTCTTGAATTTATCATTTGTTTTAAGTTTTTTTATTAAATTTAAACCACATACTCATATGCCATAATAGAATACCTATGTAACTTCAATTTTAACTTTTTTACCATAAATGTAACCTCTTTTTTATTTAATCTCTTAATTTTATATTTTACTCTATTTGATCTTTTGACAACAATTGTTTTCAAATTCTTTCTTTATATGATTTTATGATTTTACCCTCAAAACACTTTCTTTAAAATATAATATTATAAATATATTATGATTTTAGATTGTATTTATATATTAAATAACATTATAACGTGAAATATATATGATTGGAGAAAGTCGAAAAACTAAAACAAATTCTTGTTATAATGTTATAAATAATTATAATAAAATTAATATAGAAAATCAAATAACTCAGCTCAAGAAAATTTTAAGTTAAGTTCGAGTTGTAAAATACGATTCGTTAACTCGAATAACTCAAATTTTTGACTCGACTCAACTCGATCGAATGCTCACCTCTAGTACCAACCATGGTTGCAAAGTTCTCTTTTTCTTTAAAAATGTCAGTTTTTTTTAAAAAAAAAAAAAGTTGAAAATTGTTTGAAAAAAAAAACAGAATTTTTGAAGTATTTCTGACAGATAAGGGGACAAGTAGCTTTCTAGAATTCACAAACCATTCTCTAAGAATCAACTTCGCATCATCTTTTATGTTTTGAGGTCGCACCCACAATCATCATAAATAAAGATGACAAGTGTTCTATCCAATTCCAATGTTACCTGTTTTCAGTCAGCAATTTTTCATCTGAACCAGCACCATTCTCGTCATGGCCAATGTGTTTTCGGCCATCACGGGTGGTGCAGTGGTGGAGCCGTGAATCTGCCATTTCCAGCCCACAAGCATAAAGGTTTTGTAAGGTTAGGGTAACATGAATTTTCTTCGAGTTCAACACAAAACTAGCAACGTACAAATTCTTACCGTGCCATTAGACTTCAAAGATGTGGTATCGGTAGCAGGTCTTAGAGATGGATCTGAAGGCCGGTGAAATAGCAAGTGTGCTATGGATCTATCTATAGGGTTTGTGTCAGTTTCTATATCCATAAATCTAGTGCACCTGCAAAATAAAAAGAAAAATAGAATTGAAAGAAGAAAAGATTGGACAAAACGAACAAACACAACACTCAAGATGTAATGGTTTGGAGCTCGTTACTACAAATGGATTCTTATCATGTTTACATCTATAAGTTCCTTTCTACACAAACTTCGTAGCAGACAGGCAGAGTGTAGCTGAAGGATGGAGCTTCAATCAACATGTTCAAGATTGCTAACTGTTTCTAAATTGTACCTAGTGGATTATATTTCTAAGTTGCACATAGTTTTTCAATTCGTACACGGTGCTTTTTAACCTAGATACATATGCTTCAAAATTCAAATTATGAGTGGTTCTATTTTAATATTTCATAACAATAGCAATTTAAAGCAACTAAATTATCCCTAGTCTCTAGGAAGCCGAAACATTGAAGAACTCGATTACTACCCATCATGGACTTCAAGTGGTCAAACAGTGACAACATAAATATTACGAAGAAATTCACGTTTAGAGCAACGAAAACATACTTGCTTGATTCTTCGGCTTCCAATGATCCACTGGCATCTTTATCATTTCTACTGCCACTTTTCGTATTTGTGCAGTTATGCCTTTGTTCAGCACTCCTAGCCAAACGATACAGACTATCTCGTATGCACAGTTTTGTCCTGATATCCAACTGAAAATTCAAGCAGTTTTAACTTGATCAATTACCATGTTTATTCATTACCTACAGGGAACATGCAAATCTGCACATCACAAAATCTTTTCATCTACTATACCTTTTCCATAACTTGTTGAAGCTGCTGAAAACTAGTTGCTTCTAGTGAGACTTCATCTGACATCAAACTTACACAAGAGCTTTCCTTCCCGTTTGAAGAAACTAATTCTGCTTGCTTTCCTACACTATGACCTTCATCCCATTCAGACTGACGGACCTGGTTTTGAGTGATGAGTGAATCAGAAAGTGCAATCTGTCTTTCCACTCTCGCTTGGTCGACAATCCTATTGACTAAGGCTTGTGTATCCTGTTGGTGGTACAGCTTTCCTATCTTATCATTCATTATAATGTCAGGAACCTCAAATGAATGATCATGATCTATGGATTGTGCCTGATTTGACGCATATGATGATCCATTTGTAGAAGAAGGATGCCTCTTTTTTTCAGATTTGCTACTAGTCAGACTTGGACATATTGAAAGTTGGTTCGAAGGACAGCTGTAGTTGCGATGCATAAAGGGACCATTTGTCTGTATACAACTTACAGAATCAGGTCCGCCGTTTTGCTTGTGCCACTGAAGATCCAGTGGGGAAAAGAGTTGACAGGATGCATCACTAAAGGGATGCTTCACGTCTACAAACTGCTTGGTGTTACCAATTTGGTTGTACAAGCCACCACTTTTGAGAAGATTATCTATTCTTTCTCTTGATGCACTCAGTTGCTTTGACTGCTTATTTTGTGGACTAATCTGAAATTTGGTTTACAATAAGACAACATAGTAAAAATTCCACATGGCAACAA